ATATAACAACAAAAACAACAACATTATTTGATGACCACAAAACCTTCTGAATAAAGATTGACAGATATTACTATCCATATAACTCATTTGTAACTGTGCTATACTGTGATGGCTTGTTGTGATGCTGGAAACTATGCCACTGGTATTTAAAATACCAGCTGAATCACAGTAGTGGACAGGTTTCAGTAGAGCTTCAAGAGGAAAACAGACTAGAAGCAAAGAAGCAAAGCTACACATCTACTTTTGAAAGAATGGGCCCGGCCCTCGAAAGCCCTATGAATGACTGTCCAATATAGTGCCAGATAGCAGTTCCTCAGATTGAAAAGTACCCACAATACAACTGGGGAGGAACTTCCTCCTCAAAGTAGAGTCTACCTAACTGATGTGGATGGAGTAAAACTTTAGACAGTGAAGGGCCTTTATTTGCTGATATGGTAAAACTCAAAATGAGAAGAAACAGCTGAAAATACCCATTATTAAATGAAATATAGACTGTATGAAGTATGAATTTAACAAAATTGGAAGTTATCAAAATGAAATGGAACATACAAAGACAGATGTCCTCCACATTAGTGAGCTGAGACAGAGTGGAATTGGCCATTTGAAATCAGACAATCATCTGGTCTACTATACTGGGAATGACAAAGAGCAATGGCACTGCATTCACTGTCTGAAAGAACATTGCAAGTTCTTTCCCTAAGCACACTGCTGTCAGTGATAGAATAATAGCAGAATGCTCTTATTAACAAGGAAGGTCTGTTACTACAACTGTTATTCAACTATAAAGGTCAGGGTTGTGTCTTTTCACCATACCAATTCAATCTGTATTCTGAGCAAATGGTCCAAGAAACCGAACTACATTAAGAAGAACATAGCATCAGGTTTAGAGGAAGACACATCCACAACTTAGGTCATGCAGATGACACAACCTCCCAGCTGCAAGTGAAGTATTTACTGATGAAAATTAAAGACTCTATCACCTTCAGGAGGGATTACACCTCAACATGCAGAAAACAATAATGTGGCAACTAGACCACCAGGCAACATCATGATAAAAAGCAAAGAGTGACACTATCAAGGATTTCATTTTACTAGGATTAATAAACAAAATCATTGGAAGCAACAATAAAGAAATCAAAAGACATAGTGTATTGGGGAAACGGGCTTTCAAAGATCTCAGCAAAGTGTTAAAATGCCAGGATGTCAGTTTAAATACTAAGGTGTGCTTGATCCAAGGGAATGTGTTCTCAATTGCTTCATGTGCGTGTGAATGGAGGAGAAGGTGATAAAAGAGAAAGACCAAAGGAAAACCACCATCTTTGAACTGTGGTGTTGGTGAAGCGTGCTGAATATGTCATGGACTGTTTCCAAAAGAACAGAGATAACTGGCTTGGAAGAAGTACCACCAGGATGTTCCTTTCAGGCAAGGATGACAAGACTTCATATCATATACTCTGAGCATGTGGTCAGGAAGGCCTAGAGTTTGGAAAAAGACATAATGCTTGAAATAGTAGAGAGTCAGTGACGGAGAAGATCAACAGGTTGGCTTGACACAATGATGGCAACAATGGTTTGAACATAGTCGAGATTGTGAAGAGAGAGCATGGGATTAAGAAAGGCTTCAATTTATGGCATTTAGGGTCACTGTGAGTTGTCAACACCTATCAATCACGATTGCCCTCTTCCTGAAAAACAATGCCTATCTTTACTATATACTTTACCACACTTAGACCTAAATGATCCTAGACCATTTTAGGGGGGTGAGGGGTGGTTTCAAAAGATCATTTCATTATCTCTGAGGACAATTTAAAATTCAAAAGGATTTCTGAAATGTTTCCCTCCAGCTATTTCTGAGCAAGTGCATGACCTTCTAAAACACAGCTATTTTTTCAAGAAAGACTTCATGTGCACCTGGAATTTTAGGGCTTAATACACTAATGGAATCCACTGAAAGTCTTACCCACTTCCTCTTTGGCATTCTGAGAGTTATTCTTCCCTTAAGTTCATTGGCAAGGTGAGTATGAAATCATCAAATAGGGTGCTGGCCACTTCAATCCTGAACCCCAGCAACCCCAAATAGGGTCTTTCCTCAGCAACAGTCACACCTCTCCTATTATATTTTAAGGGCATATTTATAACTATTTGTCCCCATCAGGCAGGGAGCTTCTCAAAGGACTGGACCGTATCTTCCTTGTCTGTGACCCCCAAGCTGCCCCAGTCTAGCACATGTACCACTTCTGAGGCTGGAAGATAACTACCCCTGATTCTCCCCTACTCAGTGGACCCCAGGGACCTATTCACAACCTAGACACTGGCTAAGAGGCTGGAGCAAACAAAAGGGCAAAACAATCAGGCCAATCTCAACTGGGGGAGGAAATAAAAAGGAAAGTTGATTTATATTGAGATCTTGAAGTGGTTTGTTTTGTGGAAGAAGTTCATTAGGATTCTGTGAGTGTGGGCTCCCCACCAAGTCAGCCTAGAAGGAGATGTGAAGAGAATCATCTGGAACCCACCACAGTCACAGGCCATACAAATCCTTTCTGATCTTCAGTTCCCTTCTTGAAAGCCACAAAGGTCCAGGGACAGCTAGGGTTGGAACAAGGCCCACCCTTGTCAAATAGAGTGCTTTGCTTAAATTTATAGACCTAGGGGAGTTTTCCTTTGACTTTGATCTCAGATAGGTTATACAGGGAATAGTTCTCTTCCCTTCATCTTATTGCTGTTGACCATTGTTGAATTGACCATAACTCATGGGTATCCCATGTATACTGGAGAAAATGCTGTCTGGTTCTTCATCTTGCCCGTGACTGGTTCAGACTGCACTCCTGTGATATAGGTCTGTTGCTGATTTTTGGAAGTAGACCACAATGTTTTTCTTCCTATTAATCTTACTCTGGGAGATCTGCTGAAACTTATTTAGCATCATAGAAACTGGCAGACTTTCACTGACAGTGGGTGGTGGCTGTATGTGAGGTTCATGGATTGGGAATGGAATCTTGTGTCTCACATGGAAGGGAAGGGTTTTGACGTTGAGACATCAATGCCCCAGACATTATCCAGGAGAGAAGGTCAAACCAAGCATAAGTATAATTTATCTTAAAACATAGTATAGGGAGCTCTGGTGGCCTAGTGGCAAGAAGCTGCACTGCAATCCCAAAGGTGCTCAGTTTGAATCCACCAGGTGCTCTGCTGGAGAAGGAGGGACAATCTCCTCCTGTACCAGTCAGATCTGATTTAATGGTATAGACACACACACACACACACACACACACACACACACACACCCCACCACCACCACCACCACCAACAACAACAACTACAACAACATATAATATTAGTGATGGGTCACTTATACCTGGTCTTAGACCTGCTTATATTTGCCCAAGGACAGAAAGAGAACGGAGTATTGAGCCAGAAAGAACTGGATAGGAATCCTGTCTTTGTCTCTTACTAGGTGTGTGTCCATTGGCAAGTTATTCAGCCTTTCTGGGATTAATCTATCACCTTTAGTATAAGAATGTGCTTGCCTGCTAATTGAAAGGTCACTGTTTGAATGTACAAGTCACTGTACAGGAGAAAAGACTTGGCGATCTGCTTCCCTGAAGTAAGTCCACAGGACAATTCAGCTCTATCCATTGTATTGTTATGAATGAGAATTTACTTAACAGCACTTAACTCCAACAATAACTATCTGTCTCAAAGGGTTTTTGGCTTTTAAAAAACACAATAAGATATATTTAAGATGTAATATTAAAGGGTTTTATAAAACAGTTTAAAGAGATGGTGATATAATATGAACTTTTTTAATATTTAGGAGTCTTGAACTACCAAATGGAGACAATGGTCCTCCTCTTCAATTTTGTGGGTCTAAGATAATGTATAAAACATTCATAGGACAGTACCTAGTTCAGAGTAGGTTCAAGAAATTATAACCAAGATGACTATGACTCACTTCCGCTCCCCTGAGGTAGCCCTGAGTCTTCTGGGATCTCTTTTCATTAGGAGAGGGTAGGGGCCAGGGCTGTTGGGTGGTTCATATTTGTTGATTCTGCCCATCCAACAGTGTTTTTAAAGAATATCTTCACTCTGCTTTTCTTTAGATAATGTCCCTCATGGTACCCATTTCACTTTGTTTTTTCTCCCCATTAGCACTACAAGCTGGACCAATTCGCATACTCAATGCCATTTTCCCAAGGCCATTGTGACTGGTCTAGATATGTGACCTAACCAGGAAAATAAGACACAACCCTGAGTCTTTTGGTAGGAAACAATCTCTTTTCTGTGAGACCACTTAGATGGTGGAAATACAGGCCTGGTAGATACAAGTAAATGAGGCTGACAGAAAGGAAAGGCAATCTAAAATTAGAAAATTGAAGGCACCACCACGAAGCTTGCTGTTACTATAAAGTGCTGTTGAGTTGCATACGATTCATATACTATAAACACATATCTATAATTAACACAGATCTGAACCCTGTCCTATCCTGTGCCATCCTCATCTGATATATTTGAGCCCACTGTTACAGTCATTGTGTCAACCCGTTTCGTTAAGGGTCTTCCTCTTTTTCTGCTTTCCCTTCTCCTTTTCAAGCATGATGTCTTCTCCAAAGAACAGCCTTTCCTAGCAACATGCCCAGAGTATGTGAGATAAAGCTTGGTCATCCTTGCCTCCGAGGAGCACTCTGACCACACGTTCTCTAAGATCTATCTGTTTGTTCTTTTGACAGTCCATAGGACATTCAGAATTCTCCAACATCACAGCTCAAAGACATCAATTCTTCTGTCATTCATGAATGCCTAGATCTAGTCAAATCGAAGCCCCCATGGACTTAGTCATTACTGAATCCAATGCATTTCAGCCCAGTCCATTCCTTTGTGTGTTTTTGTCATTTTTGGCTGAAAAATTTCATCAATATGATTGGAAAACACGTAGATGTAAGATTCAATCCCTAACCTCAATGATGTTCCCTGTTTTTACCCCTGAATGCCCCTCAGCTCACCCTGCGCCCGAACGCCTCTCCTTGTTTCACTTCCCGAGGATAGCCGTCAATCAGAAAGCCCTTGGTGTCACCGAGGCTGGCAGCCATCGCCTCCTTCAACAGCGCCAGAACGATACCCTGGAGAAGAGGGAAAGGGGACAGTCAGGACCAGAGTACCTTCACAGCACAACACTAGATCACCACACCACAAACCTCTGCTGCCTCCAAGCACACTCACACTCACGATATTCCTACATGTGCCAGAGTCCATGGCAGTGCCCTATAGTTCTCCATGGCAGAGTTTTAGCAAGGCCTTTCTTTAGAGAAAGCTCTGAGTAGGCTCACATTTCCAATCTTATTTAGCAGTTGAAGTCAGTCAGTCATTGCTGTCGAGTCAGACTGACTCATACCTGACTCTCCAGTAGCTTTTAAGAAGCTATATGTTCCACTGGAGGTGACCGTCAAGTGGGTGGTGGATTTGAACTGCCAGAGGTGCTGTCTTTGGGTTGGCACCAGAGTTTCCTCTCTTTCATATGATGAAGCTACCCATAAAGAGGAAAACTGTGCTACAAAACATATTTCATTGCTAATCTTTTCCCAGTAAATATTTTATAATATTTGACATCCCCTGATTTGAGAAGACTCTCTATAGAGGTGAAATAACACTGTTTCAGGGAGCTCTGGTGGCCTAGTGGCAAGAAGCTGCACTGCAATTCCAGAGGCGCACGGTTTGGATCCACCAGATGCTCTACTGGAGGAGGAGCAATCTCCTCCTGTACAGTCACATCTAATTTGACAGTACATGCATAAAAATTAAGAAAAAAATATTTTAAAAAAAGAAATAACACTGTTTTTCTGTTACCCTTTTTCAATTAATATTGTGGTCATAAATAATGAAGGATAGAGATATGGAAGCTTGAGAATGGGTATAGGGAAAATGCAGTCAACTGTCAAAACAGGTGGGCATCCTGTTCCCTGGTCTTTGGCAGGGGCTTTGGGAAGGGTGGGATGACGTGTGAATTAACTCCTCATGAAGTTTGCATTCTAGTAAGGAAGATAGATGATAAACAAAAACCCAGAGAACAAAAAGTTAGCTACAGACAATGGCTATGTACAAAATTAAAGCAGGGCAGAGAGACCTTGTGCTGGTGGGGCTGTTAAGACAGGCAGCTCAGGGAGGACTTCTTTTGATAAATTTTGACATTAAACCAGAAATCTGAATGAAGTAAAGGAGCAAACTATGTGCAAGAATCCTAAGGCAAGAACAGCTTGACCTCTGGGTGGAATAAAAAGGCTAGTGGTTGGATGGGAATGAGTAAATTGAGGGGGGAAAAAAATTCCACTGCCTTCAAGTGGATTCTCATTCACAGGCTAGGACAGAATAGAACTGCCCAATAGAGTTCCCGAGAGTGTAAATCTTTATGCCACATCTTTCTCAAGCAGAGTGGCTGGAGGAGTTTGAATCACTGACCTTGCCCTTGTATAGCTCAACACAATTAACACACTGTGCTTAGTAGTAAATTAATTGAGAACCAGAAGTCAGAGTACACAGGGTTTTGTAAGTCATGGGACAAAAAAAGAACAAAAATCCCCACACTAATGGCTATGGAGTTGGGGCTCTTGTGGCCTGGTAGTAAGAAGCTGTGTTGCAATCCCACTGTTCAAATCCCTAGCTGCTTCTTGAGATAAAGATGAGCACTCTCCTCCCATGTGATAAACTGCCTCTGAAAACCCACCAGAGGGTCAGCTATGGGGCAGTTCTGACTCAACAGTACACAACAACAACGACAACTGCTGTTGAATTAATTCCAACTGGTGGTGGTCCCATGTGTGCAAGAGGGGGAAAAGCCAAACTGCAGCAGGGTTTCAGTAGCTGATTTTTTAAAGGCAGCTCACCAGGCTTTTCTTTTGAGGTATCTTTGAGTGACCAGCAGCAAAACTGAGGGGGATGTTCACATTATCCTGGGACTCAGATTATGGTGAGGAGCCATTGGGAGGTGCTAGGGAGAGAGGGCAACACAATCTGATAAATGCTTTAGAGGAACTACTCTTTCTACTCTGGGAAGAGTAGAATGAAGGGAGGAGAAGTGGGAGAGGGAGGCTAGCTAAAGAGGCGGATGAAGTGGTTTGTTCTTGTATGCGGACCCTCTGGCTTCCTGGTGGAGAACAGGCTGCATCTACTTAAGGAGGAGATGGGAGCTCTATGGGATAATAGACCCTGATTACAGACACTAGTAGAGGGCCTGGTGTGGTGGGGACATAATGAATGATTTTTGGTACCAATGACATCTACCTTCTCAGAGATGGATGGTGACTCGATAAGAAAGATGTTGATTCACAGTGACCCTATGCACAATAGCTCGGAACCCTGCTCTATTCTGAGCCAATCTGCAGTTTCTGTGTCAATCCATCCCATTCAACATCTTCCCCTTTTGTTTGTTTTTTTTTTTTTTTAATCATTCTTCTATTTCCTAAATACAGAAATTGACAATCAGAAAAGGAAAAAAAAAAGAAAGACGTACAAAAGCAATGACCCTTATTTAACTATTTAAGGAAGATACCAAATTTTAAGTTAATACATATCAATAACAACAACTCAGAATACATAAAAATATCATTTTCTATTTTCTGGGAATTTCTAACTGTAGGCTCTTCTATACCACATCTGCAACTGCTTTAATGGTTTTTAACCTTAATGCTGGGTGAGATTCTTGGTAAAATAGTGAAATAAGTCATTTTTGTGTTTTATGCCGCTTTCTCCCAGGGTGCTCCTTAGAGGCAAGTATGGTGAAACCTGGTCTCACATAAATTTGGGAATGTCGGGATGGGCTAGTCATTGGAGAAAAACCATCATTCTGGGAAAGACAGAGGGTCACAGAAAGAGAGGAAGACCCCCACCAAGATGGTCTGGCACATGACTGTCACAATGGGCTCAGGTATATCAGAGATTGTGAGGATGACACAGGAGAGGGCAAGATCACATCGTTGCTCACAGGATTGCTATGAGCCGAAATAGACTTGACGGCACCTGGCAACAGCAACAACTCTTCATCAGGACTTCCCACGATTCCCTTCCATTTCAGGAGCCAGGATCCTTTCGTATAAAAAAACCTGCCTCGAGGGAGCCCTGGAGGCACAGCGAGTAAGACGTAGGGCCCCTAACTGAAGACTGATAGCTTGAATCCATCAGCCACTAGGCAGGAAAAAGATGGCAAAACTTCCTTTTGTTAAGATTTATAGCCTTGGAAAACCAAAGGAGGGTCAGCATGGGTAGAAATCGACTCAATGACAGTGGGTAGAGAGAGGCTTATCTCAAGGTTATTTGGAATTGTTCAAGGGTTATTTGTAGTTAAAATGAAGAACCTTTCATGCCCTTGTTAAAGGAAGTCGTCAGAAAGCATGCATATGAAGTTTGGGGGAAGCTGAACTCTCTGACATTTATAAATGACAGTTGTTTTCCAAGATCCATATTCCCTTTTGTTTAGCAACACTCATTCATATCCAAGTTTTAATAGGGCACCTGGCTCTCAGGGAGGCCAGTATCTTTTCCATCTGGGGAGGTGTTGTTTGAATGTGGAACACATTAAAAAATGATGTGTGTGCTTTCTGGGTCACTTCCCTAAAGAGAAATTGAGTGTTCATATCCTTGTTCTTTCCCGTTTCCTGGGACTGGAATGGAAAAGTCAGCTCCTACCATTTTGGTGAAGATAATACTTAAGGAATCACAGAGAACATGACTGAGGAACTCCAGTCTGGACAAATGAGTCAGACAGAGTTTTTATCTCGTTGGGACCTCCTGACTGTCTCTGGATTTTTAAGCAGGAGAGAAAGCAAGCAAAGTTGTTGTCTCTATGAGTTTCTTTGTTTCTGCAGCTTAGACGAATCACAACACTACAACATTTCTCACAGCCCGGGAAAGCAGGTGGTTAGGACAAGCTGAGGTGTTTACCGTGGGCACCAGGTCTCCGCGTTCCATCATGTCTCTGATCAATTTGCTTCTTTCAGAGTCTGAGGAAAGCTCTTTACGCAGAAGCTCACCAGTGGAAAGATGTGTAAATCCGTATTTTTCCACCAGCTTTGCACACTGTGTGCCTTTGCCAGATCCAGGGCCACCTTGAAAAGAAGTCACATTGTTAGTCATACATTCCAAATCTGGTGCCTCATTTTTATGAAAGTCACTGTGGTGAAAGTGTACTGAGTATTTACTATAAATAAGGAGCTGTGCTGAGATCTATGAGTATAAAGGAGATTGAGTGACAGCCCTTGGTTTCAAATCACTTACTGTGTATGCTTACAAAACCCCACCAATAGGTATTCTGTGGTGGGTGGAGAGTTTAGCTTGCTTTAAGGGCAAGCAGAAGCAGAAGACTCCCACTTTCATAGAGAAGTCAAGAGAAGTGCCCTAGGGAACTGAATCCACTCCCTAGCTCATGAGCAAAGCACTGACCACACATCAGTGCCTGATATACAGAGTGCTCAAATGGTTTAAAAGAAATAATTTCATTTTGAAACCACAAACATATACAGAAGACTTATAAGACCTTGCTGAATTATTTGACAGGAAGTTGCTATATGATGTTTTATCATGCCAGAACACTTGCTATTTTCTATGTGGAAACAAATGCATTCTCCTATATAACCGTGCACTCGTGCACTCTGATGCCATTCACATATCAGCCCCTGTCCCAACAATGTCCTCTGAAGCAAGGCCAGAATCACACATTGCCCTGAATGATTATGCCATTCTGGTCTCCTTCCCCTTAGCATTTTTTCAACACTTTTGAAGATTATAACAGTTACTTCTGTAGACTTAATATTTTCCTAACTACTATTAATAATTCTGAGCACTTCCCATACTTTTGACCAGCTACTTTGACTATTTTTCTCCAGTTCAACTAGTTATTAAGTCCTATTGATTTTATTGACAACAACAATACTAGATAACCTTTGCTAAGTGTTTACTGTGCCAGACATTATTTTAAGCATTTTATGTATTAAATGAAAATAAATTTAAGAGGTGTTGTAGTTGTTATATGCTGTAGAGTGGAGACTGGCTCAAGGCTGACCCTTTATCGGCTTTTCAGAGTCAGTAGTCAGCATGGGAGGGAAATGCCCATCTTTCTCCCATGAAGCAACTGGTGGATTCAAACCATGTGCCCTTGAGTTGACAGCTAACTTCTCACCATTTGTCTAAAAAGGAGAAAATGGGACATAGGGTCACAAGGTGTGAGTGTCTCTCTGAAAGGGCCCGAGGAAGTGAGAACAACAAAGCCCCTCACTGCCCCAGAGCAGAAAGCAGATCAGGACCCCATAGCCCAGACCCAAGGTTCCTCTAAAGCCCCAGCAGCAGAGGTCCATTTATTTATTACTGACTCACAGTTATGGTACCAATATTGAGGTTTATTAGGGAAGGAAGTTGGAAAGTGGGAGAAGCAAAGAATATCACCCAAAATAAGTTCCAAGTTGTAGCCCAGCAGTCCCAAGGTAAAAGTCCTCAGTTAGTCCAGCCTTCAGTTTTAATTCAGCAAGCAGCTTTTCCTTCCATCCTCAAAGGCAAGAACAGCAATATCCTTTAACTGTGGCCACCACATATGCAAGAAGCCTCAGGTCACACTTTACCACCTTTTGTCCACAGCAATGCTAGTCTCTCCACCACCAGAGTCTTGCTCTCATCTGCATCTTGCCACCATTAGCCTTGCTTGCCTCAAGTCTTGTTTTGAGTCTTACCTCAAGTCTTGCTGCTCAGTGTGGGAAGCACTCCTTCACTTATTCTAATCCCACAGCTGAGGCTGATTTGCAAGCCCATGTGTCTGCAGTTAAGGTAGCTGGATACCAGAGGCTAAAATGAGTAAAAATGGTGACAACACCATGTCATCAGAGCTCCCAAACTTAAAAGGTTTTTGTTGTTATTGTTGTTAGGTGCTGTCAAGTCAAGCACAATTCATAGGGACTCTGTGAAAAAAAAGATCTGAAGCCTGTTCTGTCCTGCACCATCCTCACACTTCTTAACACACAAGAGCCCATTGCAGCAGCCACCAGGTCAATACACCTTGTTGAGGGTCTTCCTCTCCTTCGCCACCCTCTATCCTTCCCAGCATCATGTCCTGTAAGGAATAGCCCCTACTAGCAATGTGCCAAAAGTATGTGAGATTAAGCCTCATCATTCTTGCCTCCAAAGAGCACTCCAGCTGCACTCTCTCCAAGACAGAGCTGTTTGTTCTCTTGGCTGTCTATGAGATGTTCAGTGCTCTTCTCCAACACCACAGCTCTAAGGAGTCAATTCTTTTTCTGTCATCCTTATTCATTGTCCAGATCTCAGATGTATAGCCAGTGAACAGAAAGATTATGGCCTGAGTCAGATGCACCTTAATCCTCAAACCGACATCATTACTCCTCAATAATTTGGAGAGGTCCCTAACTGCAGATTTTTCCAAGTGCAATTCATCTCCTTATTTCCTGACTGTTAGTACCAAGGGTGTTAATTGTGGATCCAAACAAGATGAAGCTGCTGACACTTTCAATCTCCTCCCCATCCATCCTGATGCTGCCTATGGGTACAATGGTAAGAATCTGTTTTCTTTTTTTTTAAAATCATTTTATTATTGTGTGTGTGTGTGTGTGTGTGTGTGTGTGTGTGTGTGTGTGTGTGTACCGTCAAATCGGATCTGACTGGTACAGGAGGAGATTGTCCCTCCTTTCCCGGCAGAGCATCTGGTGGATTTAAACCATGCGCCTCTGGGATTGCAGTGCAGCTTCTTGCCACTAGGCCACCAGAGCTCCCCTAGAATCTGTTTTCTTGATATTGAGATGCAATCCATACAGAAAGCGGCATTCTTTGATCTTCTGCAACAAGCGCTTGAAGTATTCCTCACTTTCAGCAAGCAAAGTTGTGTTATCTTCATAATACAGGCCATTTAATGAGTCTCCCCCAATCCTGTTGCCACACTCTTCTTCTTGAATCATTTGCTGAGCATATATGTTGAATAGGTATGGAGGGAGAGCAGAACCAGGACACAATTCCTTCTCAATTTTAAACCATGCAGCGTTCCTCTGTTCTTAAGAGGTAGGCATTGTTATTATAGTTAATGGAATAGTCTTAGATTACATAGCTAGTAAGTGGCTTTTTTTTGGGTTCTCTTTTAAAATAGAACCAATTCAATGCGTCACATGATAGGTGGGAAGTCCAGCACCTTGTCTATTCATAGTCTTGAATGGAATTCCTCCACCCTCGGGAAACCTCAGTTTTTGTACCAAAAGCCTTTAAATGACTGGATGAAGTCCAATCACATATGGAGGGTAATCTGTTGAGCTTAACATAAACAAATTGAAATGCTAATTATATGTAAATACATTCATAGCAGCATCTACACTAGTGTTGGCCCAAAGTACAGGGCACTATAGCTTAGCCAAGCTGACATATAAAATCAGCCATTACAGAGGCAAAACTAGGATTTTAAGCCAGTCTGGCTCTCAGAGGTATTCTCTCATTTCTCTTCACTGTGAGGCAACAACATAGGTCTTTGAGATTTCTGCCTGGGGAGAGCAATCACTGTACATTACGTGGGGAGTGAGTGGAGCTTTAAAGTCCCACAAACTTGCTAGGAGGATGATGTTCCTGAAAAGCATGCCACTTCCCAGTTACAAAGTGGCTGCCTTTTCCCCATGGAATAAAATCCAAACTCTGTAGAGAGGCTTTCTACCTTCCAGAATCTAGTTCTATTTTACCTCTCCAAAGCAGGGTGCTCTGGTGGCTAAAATTTTGGCTGCCAACCCTAAAACACATGGTTCAAATTTACCAGTTGCTCTGTGGGAGAAAGATGAGCAATCTCTTCCCAGGTGATAAATTGCCTCTGAAAATCTGTTAGAGGGTCAGCATTGGGTTGGTTCCAACTTGACAATACACAACAACATGATGAAATTCTGGACTAAGTGAAGAAGAGTGTAGCATCAGAATTTGAGGAAGACTCATCACTAACCTACCTTATGCATATGCCACAACCATACTTGAAGAAAGTGGAGAGTACATGAAACACTTGCTGCAGAACATCAAAGCCTTTGAAATGGATTATACCTCAACACCGAGAGAACAAAAATCCTTGCTACTGGGCCAATAGGCAACATCATGATGGATGGAGAAATTGCTGATGATGATTTCATTTTACTTGGATTAAAAATCAACACTCATGGTAGCAGCAGTCAAGAAATCAAACAATGTGTTGCCTTGTAGAAATCCACTGCCAAAGGCCTCTCTAAGGTACTACAAGCCAAGGATGTCAGTTTAAAGCCAATGGTGCACCTGATCCAAGTCATGGTATTTTTATTGCTTTCTATGCATGTAAAAATTGGACATTTACTAAGGATAATAGAAGAATCAATGCCTTTGAGTTATAGGGTTGGAGAAGAATATGAAATATACTATGGATTACAAAAGAACAAACAAGTCTGTTTTGGGGGAAGTGCAATCAAGGCACTTCTTGGAGGCAAGGATGGTGAGGCTTGTCTTACATACTTTGAGTATGTTGTCAGGAGAGGGAAGTCCTTGCAAAAGAACATCATACCGGGAAAGGTTGAGAGTCCTCAGAAGAGAGGACCGGCCCTAACAAGGTTGACTGACGCAATGCCTTAACAATGTGCTTGAGCATGACAGAGATCTTGAGGACGGTGCTGGAAAAGGCAAGGTTCAGACCTGTTGTTCAGAGATGTAGGCCCCTATGAGTTGTAGTCAACTCGACGGCACCTAAAATGAAAAGCAATCACACCAGATGTGTTGACATGGTGATTGAAGCAATGGGTTTGAGTATTTCAGAGATTATGAGGATGGCACGGGATAAGAGTGTTCAGATCGATTATTCATAGGATTTCTATGAGTTGCACTCAACTTTACAGCACCTAACAACTACAGCAACAATTGTTGTTGTTTGATGCCATCAAGACAACTGTGACTCACAGAATCTTATGAACAATAGTTCTGAACCCTGTCCTATCTTGAGCCAGTCTTATTGTCTCTGACACATCTTACCCCATTGCTATAGTTGCTATGTCAATCTATCTCATCAGGGTCCTTCTGTATTTCGCTGACCCTCTACCCTTGCAGGCATTATGTCCTTACCCAA